GTGTGTGTGTGTGTGTGTGTGTGTGTGTGTGTGTGTTTGAGAGATAGAGAGGGGGCTCACAGGGGTCAATCACTGGCATCAGGAGCATCGCTTATTTTTAACTCTTTAACGAGTTGCCTGTAAGCCTAGACCCAATACTGTATAACCCAGACCGCTGAGCTCACTTAAACCTCCTCTCTGTGTAGTTTAACAGCTAAAACGAGGCTTTGTTGCACAGCTAGAAGTAGGAATACTGAGTTGAAGGTCATACATGAAGGATAACTGAAAGTGACAAAGAAAAGTGATGTAATGCTTTACATAATCTGAAGAATAAAATCTTTTTTCTTGTCATTCAAATTCAAGAAAATCTTCCCATCCCTCTGTTAAGGACCTTCTTCTCTTTCTCTCTTGTTCTGTGTTCTCTAACCGACATGAGACATTTCAATGAAATAAGTTCAGTGTCAGGAATAAAAGTATTCTGCACACTTTGTGGCTCTGAAATGTTGCTGCTTTTATTTCAGTGTTTTTTCTCTGCTGTTGACACTCATTAGACTCGTAGATAACAGTTGGTTACGCTCTGTCAGTTAACATAACTCATCTCCAGAGCTGAAGGATTACTTTAGTTTGCTTCATTGGCTTTTCTCTCCACTAACTTTAAGGCTTATTTACTGTGCCGCTACACACACACAGCATTAATAACTGAGTGAAAAGAGCAGCTACAGTGGAAGCGGAAGTAACACGTCGGCTGGGCGGTTTAAGGCCAACATTAGCAGGCAGATGAACAAACTGTTTGAATCGTATCTTGTGTTTGTAACTTTCTTAAATGCAGGTCAATTTGTACTAAGTGTAACTGCATATGTTTGTCAGTTTTCTGAGGAAGGTGTATCAGTGGCTCTAGCGTGACCTGCTCTGCTGACCCTTTCCTTAGATAACTCCGGGCAGCAAGGCAGCGGGAGGCAGCTTGACCCAGGGTGACATCATCTCAGCTATTGATGGGGTCAGCACCGAGGGGATGACGCACCTGGAGGCCCAGAACAAGATCAAGTCTGCCACCATCAAACTCACCCTCTCAATGCAGAAGTAAACAAGCAGCACACTTATATCTTAACACCCACCCCCACAAACTAAAGTAGATGATGAAGAAGAAACTTTTAAGGGACTTGAGTTGGATTTGCCTTGTCAATTTGGACGTTTAAGGAGGAGGACAAAGTGATGAAAGTGATACTTCAGAAAATTAAGGTTCCACTTCACACTTGAGTAAACTACCAGATCCGGGATTGGCTCTGTAACTAGCTGTGATTCCGCGAAATCCCTTTATGTACACACTCAGTTCAAATCAGTTTAATTTTATGAGAGTCTCTTCAATCCGCCTACACAGTTTCCATTTAGACTAAAGGTGAGCACATGAGATTTTTCCAACTTCTAGTTATTCATATGAAAAACTGGCTGATTCTGCAGCTCTAACACCAAAAAAGTGACATGAGGAAAACACATCTGACGTTTTCTCCCTGAACAGAATTTTTTATTTTTTTGCTGTATAATCTACAGATCAAGACGCCCGGCCCCAGTTCCCACGGCAACTCCAAGGATGGACTCACCTATGCCAGTCATCCCTCACCAGAAGGTATAAACACAGCCGCTCTATCATAAAAAAACATACCCAAATGACACACGCAGACCTACTGAATATCATATATGTTGTCTGTTAAATCCTGTGTGTTGGTAAATGTGTTCCGTATCCTCGTCTTATACGTGTTTGTAAGAATATGATTAACTATTTTATAATGGTGCCATCAGGCAGTGACCTGCTGCCCTCTAGTGTAAAATATTCACAGTGCAACTGAAGGGGAATCACTACAGGGAGGTCAGAGGTCAGCAAAAGAAAAACAAAACACCAACAGAACAACTGCTAAACAAGCTGCTAGCTTTGGTTTAATTTAAAAGATTCATTTTTCATCCCTATATATCCATCTATCTTGACATTCTCCCATTTTTAAGGCATTACAAGAGGAACATTTTGCAGGAGAAGTTCAAAAGAAGGATCAAGAGTCTTGTGGAATCCTCCTGGACAAAAAACCCTGCAAAAGAAATCTCTTCCCAGCTTCAAGATCTCCACCAAGCCAACGGGGGCAGTACAATTCCCCAATAGGCCTTTACTCCCCCGAAACTCTCAGAGATATGATTGATATGCAGGGCAAAATAGGCGAGGGATCAGCATCGGCCAGAAGAGTTTCATCGCTGGGGTAGGTTAGCACACTTTAACCACCGGTTAAATAATACGAAGAGAAGAAGATAACTAATCTGGGGGGAGAGCCAAACAGAGCTCACCCAAGGAATGAAGCCACACCTCCCTCATTTAACCAAAGATTAACAGAAAATGTACTCAGAACTTTCCACTGCTATTCCAGTACGCATAACCTCTCACACGTGGCACTATTTTAGGAGTGTGCATACAAATGCACCTGGCCTGCATCCAGGTAACAGAACGGGAGGAGCGCAGGATCATTTGAGGATATTTGGAGCCTCTTTACTAAAGGTCACATTCCCTCAGTACTACATTTAAATATCTCAGAACAAAAACTGACTCTTCCAGATGAAAACATAAAGCCAGTGAAATGATGCTGCCATCAGCAACATCGTCACCAAAGAAGTCTTTTTGCTGTTTCGGCTCCCCAAGTTGGTTTTTTGAAGATTTTATCAGCTGGGGAATGCATCCCTCTTACTGCACACATGGGAATGAAAGCCCACAACAAAGGTTTTATTCTTGTTTGAAGCAGAGACATGCTGTTTTTGTGAGTGTCGCTGATGCGAAGGTAAAAGCTCTGCAGGTATAGCAAAAACAAACCCGCTGTACAGGTGCTGACTTACGGTTCTCTGAGCTCATTCAAAAAACCAAAAAACAAAAGGTGTCAGATTCTGGGATTTTTTATTCAATAGATCTAAATAATTAGGTATTAATTTTGTTGTTTTTTGTTGCTTTTTTATCTTTGTTTTCGCCTTCTGGCTATCTGTGTGTTTAGATTCAGAAAACAAAACAATAACATTTATTTTGATTAAACAATTCTAAGGGAAAAATGCAGAAACATTCATTAAAAATTAAAGTCAGAATTTGTAAAACTGTTTTGGTTTTTCACCCATAAAATAGCAACAATGTTTTTCAGTGGATCACATATTTAATAACCTGTAACTGACTAATCCTTTCTGCTGTATTGTGCTGTTATCACTGAATTATTAAGTGTAATAGTGGCCATTTATTGCAGCATTGTGCTTTTCTCTTTCTAAATTTATCAGTTTTGAGAATATAACTGTAGGGTCCCACTATACTAAATTTTAGAGTTGATATTCATGTAATGAAAGACGTCCTTATAGAGGGTGATTTTCAGCTCCACAGAAAACCAAGGGATTGACTCAAAATTAGCTCCAACGTCGAGGGAAAATGCCACTATAATAATAATTTTTCTTCTGTGTTCACAGTGCATTATTGGGCTACATAATATATTTTTTGGACAAAACATAATATAACACATTTTGCACATTCTTATATATACTTCCTAAACAGATACCAGAAAAACAGCACTTTCTTCAACTCATATTTCCACCTAACAAAGCTCAGGTTGGCTCCATTTCTTTCTTCTTCTTCTTCTTTTTTGGTGTCCATAAAGTCATATTCATGTTGCATATTTGATCTGGAAGTTCCCATACCTGGAGTCTGGTGGGAGTTGAATTATGGCCGCTGTTGAGCGGTCTCTTCTCAGAAGGATGGCATGTGTTTGCGTGAAGTCTCAGTCATGGAATACGTGTAGAGTTTAATTAAGGGTGTAACGTGTTTGGCCTCTGACATATCACAGCCACGTATCAGTCTCCCCCTAATCTGTTTCCCCTCTGCTGAGCCCTTACAGTAACAGCCAATGGGAAGTCAGGTGTCAGAAAAACGTGCTCCATGCAGAGCACAGGATGATGACGGCAGCGTCATGCCAGCAGCCCCACCTCACTGAGCACATGCGGACACAGACACACACACACACTCGGAGAGGACGAGCAGCTGTTGTACGCAGTTATGGAATGTTCCGCTCTGGTTACACACCATCATCCTGAATCCCCTGAAGGCCAAACCTGAGAAAGGACACCCCCGTCTATAGGGAGATGCCCCATACGTGATATGTTTCGCTTTACTGTACCCTGAACACATCCATGTACTGTAGAGACAAACATTTATGTGTCTCACCACTGTGGCAGCATGGAATTGAACACATTTACACACTTACCCAGTCTCCTCTGCTACTCTGAATTTATTAGTGGTTAATAAGCTAGATGCATGGATGGATGGACAGACTGAACTATTTCCATATCATTAGCCTTGTCTTGTGCCCATATTAAAAATGAAACAACACTGAAAACCACCATTTGTTCCAAGTAACCCTGAGAATAAGAGTGAAATGTGAAGATCTGATGCAGATTTATGAAGGTGAATTTGTGTGAAACTTTACAAACTCCTGTTTTAGCAGGTTTTAAGAGGCCAGAGTGTAACCTTTTATACATGAGACAGATTCTTGGCAAAAGCTAAAGTGAAACCAACATAAATATTTCCATATGCAGGGTTAGAAATCTGCAGTAACTTGTCTGTGCCAGCCTGTGTTCATCTATCTGTAATGTCTGCTGTTCTGACATAAGTTGAGCGGGTGGTTTGCGTTCTGTTTTGTGTGGTTGTGTATATTTTTGTCTGTTCTGCGCTAAATGTGTCTACATCCCTGCCGTCCTGTGTCATGTGACTGAAACACTTCTGCTCCTGTCAGTCACTCCTGAGGTTTCAGGGGTAGCAGGGAAATATCCCAGTGATGGGAAAAAGGCTGCTATTTCGACCAGTACATGGGATTACACATGAGCACTGTAGCCGGATGGTTTCCTGCAACGCACATAGAGCTATTGTTATCCACAAAAAATACCTGTAGTGATTCACCACATTCCCTCCTTTTGTCTATTTGTCTCTCTTTGTGTGTCGGGTCCTCTGGTGTGTTACAGGTTATTGCAAACACAGCTGCAAAGTCAGTACCTTAATTTATTTTTACAGCATTTCATGTGCATGAAGTGAAGCGCAGCAGTATTAGCAATTTTCGATCATCCACTCGTAACTTTGGTGTGAGGTTGTGGGATTTGTGTGTTTGTGGTTGAACTAAAGCTTCCTTGTAGCTGTTGGGCTGCACTGAGCGTGGCGTTCACAAGCTAAAAATTCAAGTCATGTTAAAATCATCTGGTCCCCAGGAGTGGAAAATGGCAGACTACCACATTACTTTGGTGACTTTGGCCAGAATCTCTACTTCTCTCCATGTCACAAGAAATGACTGTGCATCGTTCTTCACTTTGTTTATCTGACAGCTCTGTTGCCATTTACTTTATCATAAAAATGTAACATGCCTGCCGAGATTACATTGTAGCCAAGAGACGAGTTCCAACGTTACTTACATTTTGAGACAAAGAAACCAAAACAGACTGTAAATTTTAGCGCTGACACATTTTTATTTCTCCCTTAAATAATTATTTCATTTTCATTTCATTTCATTAAGTTTATTGATCCCAAAGGAAATTGTTTAAGGCTGCCGGCATTCCAGCATCAGCCCTGAACTCATAATGTACTGAGACATTTACCTGCATTTCCACTTCTGCTGGTCCTTTTAATCAGTTTTACTGTGTGTGAAATTCATAACAGATATGTTATGTATTTGCAGTACTATGTTTATATCAGTATAACTGAGTGCATCATTTTAAACATGCCAGTGATGACCTGTCAGTTTGGCCTGCTGGGTGCCTGAAACATTAGCATGTTTGGTTTTCTTTGGACTTGTTTGTTTGTCAAGTAAAAGCTAAGAGTTTAGAAATGTTCAAGAGATGATGTCAAAGACCTTTTAGTTTCTGTTGACATGCTGTGTCCCAATTCCACAAATATTAGAAATATTAATTCACTGGTATTAAATATTTATCCAGTAGGATCTGAACATTTGCCGCACATAGTACACGAATAATGCTGTGTTTAGTTCCCCTCTAAAGTTGGGTGTTGTAGCTTGGAACAACGTGATTCCCGATTTGAGCATTTTCAACTTGGAAAATCAAGAAACACTATTTTATTTATTTATTTATTTATTTGCTCCTTAGGTAAAGCCTGTCATGTGTGACAAGCACTTAAAAGCCACCGCAGCCCATAATCGATAGAGCCCGGTCAGTGATCTGTCTGTGGCTTATTTAGCAAGTCACAAATATGCAACAATACAGATGAAAAGTTTTACTGTTTACATTCGCTGCTGCCATCTAGAATAGTTTCAGTCGAGATGGTGGGGTTGCTCCAACTTTCCAAGTTTGAAATCCGATTTTAAGGCAGAGTTCCAGGTGAAAGTTCCATTTCTGAACTTGGAAATTCTGACTTCAGCTGGATTGCACTGTAAGAAGTTAGCATATGACATATGCAGCAGCTAATGTCCCTTCCAAACAGTGACAGCAGGATGCAATGCTCCCTGTGTCAACTAGATTATTTTAAAATATACTTCATTGTGGCTTCAGCATTAAAAGTGAAAGAGCTGTTAGGTTGTCTATGGGCACTTAAATACTGTTAATAAATTGTGAACTTTTCAAGTGATGTTTGTAGACAATCTCAAACTTTGATGGTGTAAGTCAACATATGTGGCATGGTGGTGCAGTGGTTAGCACTGCTTCCCCACAGCAGGAAGATCTGGGGCTCGAATCCAGTCTGGAATCACACATTTTTCCATGTTTTGGAGCTGGGACACAGCTACAGTACAGAGTGGTGTATATTTGCTAACCACTACGGCGGTACAACAGCCCCCCCTTTCTGCCGATTGCATGACTACACCTTGACCTTGCCTTTTCGTTCCCCTCATATCCCCGTCTGTTAACGCCTCATGTTCAAACCCTTCACCCCACACCTGAAACCTTCATCTTTTACCCACTGACCTTTCACCCCTTCCACCTGCTCTGACAGTGTGGAGTACACCCCCAGCTTCAACCCCATTGCTTTGAAAGACTCAGCCCTGTCCACCCACAAGCCCATTGAAGTGAAGGGTCCAGGAGGAAAGGCCACTATCGTTCACGCTCAGTACAACACACCAATCAGCATGTACTCACAGGACGCCATCATGGACGCTATCGCAGGGCAGTCACAGGCAAAGGGACACGACAGGTGAGGACACACAACTAAACCAATCCCGCCCCCAGGTGTTTTATACCTCTTTTGCACTCACCATTTGATGACATCACACTGACTGAACAAAGCCACGTGTTTAGAAATTAAAGGGTCAGTTACTCAAATGACAAAAAAACCCATATTCATTCACTCAATCTTCACTTGCTGGTTATATTAAGGCACTAAAATCTACTTTGACTGTCAGATTGGTTTAAAATATGCCTCCGTGTGTAAATGACACACCAAAGGGTAGTTTGCAAGTCAACTTGTGAGTTATGAATGAGAATCCCATTTTACTGTTGCCATAACGCAGTAGGTCACAGCATCACTGCCACTATGAGATGCCAATGTGTCTGATAAAACAGCAGTGGTTGATGAAACTGACCTTTTAACTTTTGCCTGAAAAGCTCCAAATAAGGTGGAGCTTCTGAGCATACGTTAAGCCTACGCTGCTACAAATAGGGTGTCTATAGTGGTGTAGTGTATGCCCGGGCTTTTCCTTGTTGTCTGTGTCCGTGCCGAGTACTCCTCCGTGCCTTCACCCACTTTCCTCTGCTCATTCCATCCAACCAACCAACCACACCCGCGCTGTCCTCCACCCATCCCTCCCCATCCTTCCTTCCTGGTTGTGACATGAAGTGAAGAGGCAGGCTCCCCCTTGGCGTAAGTACAGCAGAGCTGCTTTTCCGTCTCGCCTCTCCTCATCCGTGCGTTTCCTCTCGTCTCACGACTTCATAATAGCTTGCGCATTGTGCCATGTGTCTCATAAACTAATGCCCGACTGAAAACTGTCTGAAAATCCTCCAGCCTCCTGTATACAGAATTTATGTTTTTATGTGTTTGTCTGAAACATCACATCAAAGTGTTTGATGCACACTAACCATGAGGTTGTCATGGTTATGTGTGAGGAAGTACCGTGGGTACTTTGGCCTTAGTGTGAGAGTGCAAGTCGAGTTTAGAGTCATACTCTGAAAAAAGGAGCCAGTATCATCACAGCTTCGGGAACCTGATGGGATTTCATCTGATGCAGTTTTATGGCATGGGAATGTTCTGAGTATCACAGGTTTTTAAAACATCTACTGCCCGGATCCGCACTGAATCACTTACTAACTGCTGTGTACATGCTCCTGAGTATTTACTGTCATGAAGACTACAAAACAGTAAATACAGGCACTTAAGGTAAAACTATAGATCAACAGAACAGAATTGAATATGATGGATTAACACATAAACTATAAAAATGTAATAATTAACCTTAATGTAATAAATGCCCATGATTGTATAAAATTCAATATTTTAACCTAAACAGCATCTGAGTAGGTTTTCAGTGGGTGTTAATACTGCAGATTTCAGCAGGTCTTTCCAGTTTCAGATCTGTTACACACTGAGATTAGAGACTTTAAAGAACTCCCAAAATGCAAAGAATTATAGACACATACAAATATACATACAGTGCTGTGAAAACGTCTTTGCCCCCTTCCAGATATCTTCATTTTTTTCATATTTGTCAGACTAAAATGTTTCAGATAATCACAGAAATTTTAATGCTAGACAAAGATAACATGAAATGATGCAAAACCCTTGGCAGAAAGAACTGCAATCAAGTTTTTTTTGATAACTTTGAAGGTTTTTTTGCATTATTATTAGCATGAATAGCCTGTTTAAGATCATGCCAAAGTATTTCAGGTCACTGCAACCTTGATTTGGGTTTTTTGTGCCATTCAGAGGTGGACTTGCTGGTGTTTTTCGGATCATTGTTCTGCTGCAGCCCAAGTCCGTTTGAGCTTAAGGGTCCAAATTGACGGCCAGATATTCTCCTTTAGGATTTTTCATAGAGAACAGAGTTCATGGTTCCATCAGTTGCAGCAAGTCATCCAGGTCCTGAAGCAGCAAATCAGCCCCAGACTATCACACTACCACCACTGTACTTGACTGTTGACATGATTTTCTTTTTATGAAATGCTGTAATGGAACTTAAATCTTGCAAAAACTTTACGTTCGTCTCATCAGACCATATATTGTTTTCCCAAATGTCTTGGGCATCATTAAGATGTTTTTTAACAAATGTGCAGAAAGCTTTTGTGTTCTTTTTTTGTCACCTGTTATTTTCTCCTTGGAAGTCTCCCATGGATGCCATTTTTTCCAGTCTCTTTCTATTGTTGTTGAACCATGAATACTGACCTGAACTGTGACACGTGAGGCTTGCAGTTCTTTAGATGTTGTTCTGGGTTCTTCTATGACCCCTTGGATGAGTCATCATTCACTTTTGTAGTAAGTTTGGCAGGCAAAAGTTTCACAACTTTACCACTAATTGATGATTTAACAAGGGGCAATTAGTTTTTCACACAGGGCCTGGTAGGTTTGGATATATAACTGTATTTTGTATTTATTTGGGTTTTGTCTAGTATTAAAATTTGTTTGATAATTTGAAATATGTCAAAACTAAATGTAAAAACTAAGAAATTAGGAAGGATGCAAATAATTCTTCACAACACTGAATTAAAAGAGTGATGCTTTAGGCAATTTTACTTTTTGTTCCAATATTTGTTTTTGGTGTACAAATATTCTACTACTCTAATATCGTTAGGTGGTAGTGTACCATGGGCACTTAATACATGATCTAGTTTCAGCTTTTAAAGGTTGGGCCTTAACATCCATCATTGTTCCGATGACGTCTAACTGAGAACTCTTTGTCCTGCAGTGGTGTTCTGCCCATCAAGGAGCCTGTGGTAGATTGTGCATCTCCAGTGTACCAGGCAGTGATCAGGCCAGGAGAGCCCCTGGACATGACTGACTGGGCTCGCCGCGCTGCCAACCTGCAGTCTAAAAGCTTCAGGATTCTGGCCCACATCACTGGCACCGAATTCCGTCAGTAAACTGACTCCACCTTATCTTCTTGTCCTTTTATCCTTTATGATTTCATACCCTCTCCCTGAATGTGCCCGATACTTCTCCTTCCAAATCCTCAATTAGTTATCATCTCATTGAGAGATCTTACTAAATGCTCTTGTTTATGTCTGTCAATGCAGTGCAAGACCCAGATGAGGAAGCCCTGCAGAAGTCAAGGTAAGAGTGGTCTTTTAATGGTGCGTGACCAGTCTACTGACAGTTGGAGACATTAGAGAGGTTCAGATACTTTAGCAAAATTGAAAAATTACATCAACTGGCATCAGCTACCTTGTCTTAAAGAAAAATGCATAGAAAGCTAAGCTGAACTGAAGTGGAGACTTCAACTTTAATTAAAAGGGTTTAAGAAAGGTATTGCATTAACTGTTTATTGCAGCCATTTTTATACATAGCAATCCACTTTCATATGCTCAAAAGTAACTGGACAAACCAACATAACTTTTAATGGAAGGATTGTTTCTAATGCTTGGATCCCTGCTTGAAACCCTGCTCTGCCAGGCCTTTACTGCAGCCAGCTTTCCTTCTGCTTTATGGGTTTCTTTGACTTAACTTAACTTTTATATCTAATAACCTATTTTGACACTAGAACATCATATTTAGAATTTTGCCTCAGCTAATTATTCATTTGCACTGTCAGATTAGTTTTGCAGCACTTGGTTGAATCTGAGCAGAGAGCTCAGCTGCTTCTATTAGGAACGTATCAGCAATAAATACTAGTAAACCAGCTCCACTGGCTGGCAGCTATATACGCCCATGCTTCAGTACGCTGGCATGCTTTAGATCATGACTTGCTCTTTTCCTTCTTCATACTCTTCTCCTTCCATCATTTTTGTGCAAGTTAATCTTGTACGTCTTGAGAGTTGTTTTTTGACAACCTCTAAAGAAACACTTTAATATCATCAGTTTATTTCAGAAAGGAGAGACACCAAGATACAGAATACAATTAATCTATTTGACTATTAGACTCTGATGACTCCCAGTGATAGGAATTAGGATAGGACCCCCTGGAGTCTAAGCCTCCATCTTCATCTTCATTGTCAACGGTGTTTAAATGAAGCTCTGAGTGACAAGAGTGGGACAGAGTGCAGGCTGATTGGCTCAGAGAAAGTGGGCAAGAAGATAATTGGACTAGAGCAAGGATGTTGCCATTGAGTTTGATAGCATGGAAACCTGACAGTGATCGAAACAATATCCTCCTGAGACCCAGCCTATTCTTTTTTGTCCTCTGTAATGGACATTTGTTTTTAATCTGTATCCTTTGACTTATTTGAGCGACCCTACTAAGTCTCCATGTGCTCAATAGAGGACATTCTGGCATTTCCATGTTTGGGTGGTCTCTTTTACCTCCAAAGAGGCAGGAAATCGCGAAAACAGAAAAATACTTTTTTCCTCAGTTCTCTGGAATCCACTTGGAAAAGTGGTGCACTATGTTTAAAACTGGCTTTTTCTTCTGTAATACACTTTGATGATGTACAGATGAAAAATTATAAAGAAGTGTGTCACTCTCCAAATATGCATGCACCTAACCGTAAACTAAAAAGTGTTATTTATTTATTTATTTAATTTCTTTCCCCACGCACACACGTATTGTTTTCCCTACCATCAGAGAGAAGTTTGAGTCGGAGGTCAAAGGGCCCCGCTTTGCCAAGCTGAAGAACTGGCATCATGGACTGTCTGCACAGATCCTTAATGTCCAGGAATAAAGAGGAGAAGGTGAAAACAAAGGGAAAGAGAAAGAGAGAGAGGGGGAGGAGGAGAACATGTAAAGGACGACATGGACAAAAGGAGGAAAAAGAGATAAATTATGGAGAGAGATAAGGAGCAAGAGGAGGAGCAAAGTGCTCGGGAATGTGACATAGTATTGTAGCCCAGATTAGTTTGATGAAAGATACTAAATGTTAGTGTAAGAATGCTAAATGTTAAATGTCAAATATATCTGTCAGCTGCTAAAACCTGACCTAGCATTTGGGTTTTTCTTTCCTTGTTTCCTTTTTGTTTGGGTTCTGTCTCTCTTATGTGAAAGGGAAATTGTACAAAAATGAAGTATTCAAGTGAAAATGCAGAAATTATGTTTCTTTTATGCACCAGTACGTAAACAAACATATGAATTTTAACACTATGTGCATGTTTGTGAGGCAGCACACATAGAGATGTATCTAAATGCACCAATACAGTATGTAAAAAAACAAATGCACTGATATGAATGTGAATAAATGTTTTCTTAAAACAATACGGCTGAATGAACTGCTGTAAACCGCTGGAAACATGGTGTGGTGCTATGATTGAGACGTTCATCAATCGTGTTTCCTGTCATTTCTGTTCCTGATGGGAAAGCAGAAGCAGTCTTTGACTTTGCAAACCAGGATAAAAACTAAACAAAAAACAAAAGAGCATCTAACAGCTTTTGACAGGATAATAAGATGATTGTTTATTTGCTTGTGGCACCGCTGGCACTGGCACAGCTGTGATAACAGGGCTGACAAAGCCTTAGATATGAACCCAGCATGTGGAGCCACAATCTTCAGCTTTTATTTTAAGGCAACGCCATTAAACTTTTTCTTATTTTCTAACATTCACTTCTCAAAACAAATTAATAAAACACTGAAAACATATCAGATCTCAATGGAAAAATGGAAAAAAAATGGTGCTCAGTAGTTTGTATGGCCCCCATGTGCTTATATGCATGCATAACAGTGACAGCTCCTAATGGGATGACAGGTTTCCTGGGGTTTCTCCTTCCAGAGCCTGGGCATTGTCCTGCACCAGGAGGAACCCAGGACCCACTGCACCAGCGTAGTGTCTGACATTGGGTCCAGAGAGTTCATCTTGATACCCACAACAAACCTTTTGGCAATTGCATCTCCTGGAGGAGTTGGAGTAGTTGTGCAACCTCTGTAGGGTCCAGCTATTGCCTTATACTTCCAGTAGTGACACCGAGAACAGCCAAATGCAAAGCTAATGAAAAAACAGGAAACATGAGGTGGGAAAAAATATCAGTGACCTCCATCTGTAAAATCATTTCTGTCTTTGGGGTTGTGTCATTGTTGAAATGTTTTTAATTTCATTGATACCAAAGCAGCAAAAACAACTCCCTCTGCTACTTAACTGACCAGATTGATTGGCTGGATGCTGTACTCTAAAATCCCCCTTTCAAATTTTTTAGCAGTGTATACTGTGGCAGTGAGTTAGCATCCAGGGGTTAACAATATTAACTCTTTGTTTAGTTCTGTTTCTTCACCAACACATGACAAAGATATTTGGCTGTGTTTTTCTGCTAATCGCTCCCCAACCAGCTAGCTAATGTTTCTGCACTTTCTGGTGAAAACTGACACACCAAACATGGACTTGACCAGTGAGGCCACAACAAAAATATTAAAATATAGAACCAAAAATTCAGTTTCTAGAAAGAAAACTTCTGCAGAGCCCCTAGAGGGGAACTGCATGAAGGGGGGCTACCAGCAAGGCTCTTTTCAGGTAAACAGTTTATCGTTCATTCATGACTTGGACTTGGCTACAAAAGATTTGCAAACAGCATCAGTGACTGATGATCATACATCTTATGACTTAACAGCTGAAGTCTAAATAACCCCCATCACTGCCATAATGCTGCGTCATGATGCGATGAGTCCTGTGAACACCAGAGGGCAGTCAAAGACCTGAAGGAGGGACCCTCCGCCTCTGCAACAGCAAAACAGCGCTTCATGGATCACGGTGTTCTAGCTTCATCCCTTCCTTTATCTAGTATTATACAGTGAATATAATTATTTTCCTACTTGTCAACATTTTAATATCAAACAACTGTTTTGTTTTTTTTTGAAAAAAAAAACGGAGCTTGTGTAAAGTGGGATTTAGCTGGTGAGGAATATAACCTGTAGATAAGTCACATGACTCTGATATTGATTACTTTTCGTTGATTTGCAGATGTTTTACAAGCTGATATCCAACAAATGCACAATATAAAGTAGAATTCAGTGATTGAATCTAGTGTGCATCATCACCTTTATTAGAAATCGATGTCTGCTACCCTTCCTACAGCCTTACATGAATACCACAGCCTCTTCTGCACTAGTCCAATACAGTGAATCAGTGTATTCTTTATTACACTACCACAAACTAACCAATGTAGCCTAGTATCTTCATTAAACCTTTGACTAACACAAAATTATTATTCAAGTACAGTTTATTTTGCAGGATATTTCACAAAAACAGCAAAATACCAAGTACGGATCCAATGTGTAATTTAAAAGCTAAACTAAACTGGCTTTTGAAAATAATCTCACATTTCTTCTCCTGTGCGTTTCACTGCATGTCACTCCAACTTTACATGTGCACCGCGAACGCATCACAGGGACGAGAAGAAAAAAGGATGTGTTGAGGGTGTAGCGGGTAGTGGGACGTTTTTGTTTTTATTACTGAGCAAGTATATCTCCATGTTTTCACTGGAAGCAACACCAGGCAGCAGCACACGGAAAATTACCTTAACCTGCCTCAGATTTAATGACTGAAGGTGCTGAAGGTTCCGGATCATTTCAAACCCTGGTTGTGATATCAATGTCACTCAGAATCACTGCACTGCTGAATCGGCATGTCTGAGTGAAACAGAAAGAGGAGGAGGAGGAGGAAGAGGAAGAGCGGGGCTGTTGTGACTCATTCAGGTGAAGATGACAAAGCAATTTCTCTCCAATCACAACCACAGAAATAGCTGTAGATGCTCTCTTTGTCTTTCTTAATGCATTCTGATTCAGCTCAAGTGGTAAAAATAAAAAAATCTGAGCTGATGGCAAAGCATTAATATAAACAGCAATACTATAAGTAAAAAGAATAGAAAAGCATATAAATAAAGTATCAGCTAAGAACATTTTGCTAAGAAATTAAAAACAAAGGAAGCAAATGTTTGGGACAAGCTCTGTGATGCAACTGCAGATTACATTGCAAAATTTAAGGATGCATATGATCTGACAAGAGGATCTGTCGGTTATGTAACCAGCGCATGGAGCCTCAGCATCTACAAAGGTGTGCCCAGAGCAAAGCGTGCCAATCAAAATATGCAAACAGATAGCCAGAGGCTGAGCTGAGCATGAGAGAGAGTCACCAGAAGAAAAGATGGACGAGAGTGGAGGGATGACTAAAGGGGCGGGGTTGCAGCATGACTTGAAAATGCTGCAGCATCCGGCTGCCTCTCCTCCTCCTCCTCTCCCCATCTTTTTACATATTGGCTGTATCCTCCCTCCTGTTTCTCTCAGTCTGAGTGCTGTAGCCCTGCTGTGTGTTCCTCTCAGCCCTCTGTTGGAGCACCAAAGGGAGGAGGAGCCACCAGGAAACAGGCACTTACACATACTCACCCAGCCACACACTCTGACATCTCACAGCATCACTTCTGCACGCTCACTGTAAGCACCAGCCAGCCAACCAGCCAGGCCCATTTGGAGCAGGGGAGCCCAACTGTTTCATCGCCCAACATGGATGTACTGATGAAGGGGTTCTCCATGGCCAAGGAGGGGGTGGTGGCCGCCGCAGAGAAGACCAAAGCTGGCATGGAGGAAGCAGCAGCTAAGACCAAGGAGGGGGTAATGTATGTAGGTATGTAACATATCATGCAGCAAAAAGAGTTTGGAGGGTTGTGGGGGGGAGGTGCACTCATTTTTTGGTCTATATGTGGAATTACTTCATGTACTTTTTGCATCATATGATCTGGGATCCATGTCTGAGACTTGTGAGAGGAACAGAGAGAGGAGGAGGAGGAAAAAGAGAAGAGAAGGCAGGAAGGAGGGGATGGAGTGAGTGCTGGTGGGATACTGCTGCAGGACTGGTGCAGGGTCCAGAGGGTGGACAGTGAGAAACAGCGAGGAAAAGACAGTGAGGGTTACAGCTTTGCAGCAGGACAGTGATCAGTGGATGTTTGGGGGGAAAGCAAAAGAAAAGCAAAAGAGAAGAGCAAAAGGAGGGAAAGGAGGTCACTGCAGAGCTCTGTGACGCCGCTTCCTCGGGCTTTCATCACCTGACCAGCGTGACTTTAAATCACTGGTCTGTGAAGCAGTTTGGATGGGGATGTCCAGTGATGGACTGGTTTCCAGAGTGTCAATTTATCTGATTTTTTTAATTAAATTTACAGAATAGAGCTGACCTACATTCATAATTAAAAGAAAAAAATATATATTTAGAAAAGTGTTATAAAAAGCATTTAAACACTTAAAAAGAATCATTTCACAGCAAGACGCAAGATGATGTAAGTGTAAGAGGAAATACAATTTTAAATGCCCAAGAAAAATGATTCATTTATATTTTACCTCGGGTGCTTTGCACAGATGCTGTTGTTTCCTGCACTTTAATTATAGCTCAAGCTGCCACTGCGTCACGTTTCAAGGTTATCCCAAGCAGCAGGCTTTCACACCACCTGGGACAGGCCAGAGGGGGTGCAAAAGTAAGGAGGGTGGGTGAGGAACGATCAGAGTGGAGGGCTCCATCGTTGTCTGCTGTCTATCCTGTCAGTGCTCTGTCTGACCGTCATGCAGCAACTACAAAATTTTAATCATAATGATGAAAAAAAAGGGAAAGTCAACGGCACAAGCTGGAGAGGGAGGGGTGAGTTAGGGCAAGGATCATTTGAGCACTGCAGCAATTTGCTCTCTCTCTCTATCACAACCCCTCCACCCCCACCCCCACCCTCCTTCTCCCGCACGCTCTACCCTCATCGGTTTGTGCTGGACGCAAAAACATTTGCGTGCTTGTGTTAGTTTGTGGCGTCACAGCAGCAGGATTGGCCTCCCAGTGAGTGCTCCTTCCTTCCACCCCCCACAGCTCACAAAACACCCACCCCAGGGAGACATGGAAGAACGGAGGGATGCAGGAAAAAGAGACAGAGAGAGAAAAGAGGGGGTAAAAAAAATGAAGGGAGGGGTGTTATGTCACCAAAAGCTTTGAGCTTGTAGTCTCGTGGCTCGTGGAGGAGAAAGACAGGTGACACATTGGGACAGAGGGCTGAGACTTGCTGGGTAAAGAAACCCTGGATCTTCCAGGAAGTAGACAGTGGTCACAAGCTCAAGGAAGCAAGAGAAAGGGGGTAAAAGTGAAGCAAGAGACAGAGAGGGAACAACGTAGATCACAGGGGGAGGATCAGAAGGGGGAGAGGGGATGTGATCAGTGAAGAGTGTCAATGGTTTCACTGTATCCACCTGCAGCAGAGTGCCTACGTCAGCATGTGGCTGTCAGTACACAGTATCAAGGTTTGCACG